TGAGCACAACAGAGACAAAGGAACCCATCAGAAAAAGAAAAAAACTTCCTTCCAGATCCCTTTTCTCCATCTAGAGATGATTACGAATGTGATATCACTGCTATGTGCTTATCTCTCTCTTCCCCCCCATCCTCTGTACTCAGCTCTGGCTTTGGCATTTGAAGCTTGTGTGTCGCTACCCATAACAGAGCAATCATAGCATGATCTCAATGTGGTTTTCATTACAGCATTAACAAAACATTCTCTCTTTATTTATGGGCCTTCTCATAGGCCCTTCAGTGTTCCAATGTCTTTCTGCATTCCTGCCTCCCCACAAAGTGGATCTGAAGTAAAAACTTCGCTTGTGGAGTTGTCACAAGGAGTGGCATAAGAAGAGTCAGCCAGGATGAACTGAGATTGGGCTTTGGTAGTTGGTGCAGTGAATAATAGAAGTATTTTGAGTTTCCAGAGGAACAGTGGAAGTGCTCAGGGCTACCTATGTCATAGAATCCTAGGATCTTGGAGGCTGGAAACGACCTCTAAGATCAGCTAGTCCAACCATCCACCTACCATCAATATTGCCTACTAAACCATGTCCTTAAGTACCACATTGAACCTTTTCTTGAACATCTCCAGGGACAGTGATTCCACCACTTCCCTGGGCAGGCTGCTCCAAAGGTTGGTCTCAGGTGGACTGAAGACCAAAGGGAGGACAACCTCCTTAGCATAGACGTTCCTCGGGGAATCTATGAGAGCAGCCAGATTCCCCTGATTTGTGTGTATTAGATTAACAGAAACCAGTGTCATCTTTCCTGCAGATGCAGAAGACTAGATCAGAGCATTTGGAGATGTACTTCAATCAAACACAAATCACAAATACTCCTTTATTTGACAAGGGTAATAACAGAAGGAAATTGTTGGCTTGTGATGCATGGAAAGTTTGTCAAACAGCTTTTGCAGCCTTTCCTGAACTAAAATATTTCAGACATTGCAAGCCTGACAGTCAGCATTGATACTGTTGAGATGGCAGTCTGAAAACATTCATGCTTTCTCTAAGAGATCTTTGCAGTCATTTTTCAGTCTGCTCATTAGTTTTTGGATGAGCCATTAACCAAATAAAAGGCTGTTTTAATTTCAGCATGTTTATATGGCAGAAATACTATCTTTCTTTGTCACCTTTGGGGTTTTATTCCTCTGGTTTAGTTTTGCTCTTCTGTGTTAAAACATCATGCATATATTGAAGCTGTTATTATTATAGTTGGGAAGTACTCCAAGTCCTGGCTTGCCAAAAGGCTACACCCTGCTAATGGCAAAAGAAACTACACACTAATGCTAGGACTAATAGATTTTACAGGCTACAGATAGCTGTTAAAAGGTATAGGAATGCTGGGTAGTGAATTACGGGAATTTGAGCAGTAGAAAGTACCTTGTTGAAACAGTACCTTGTTGAAATCTATAGAAAGCGCGTATTTTGGGGAGATGTTTGACCCTTCTGTTTCTGCACGCAGCTGTGAAGTGATTATTAATTTTAGCTACCCACTCATGTTGTGAGTCCTATGGACTTCTTTTACAGTGAGAACCCTATTTTGCTTGATGGGGTGATCAGGGGTGGATAGGTAAGGCATTCCTTTCTGTAGGTGGACTTTCTCAAAGGCGAAGTGTTGCAACACATCCTGAGGCTCTGCCCATAACTGATATCTGCGATGCATTTCTATGAATCTGGCAAAAGAGTCTAGATGACTTTTGCAGGGCTGCAAGGCCAGCTAGCGGCCGAGCCGAGAAGGGAAATTGCTTTCTGTGCAGCAAAATCAGTAACATGGAGCGGCCCCTGCTTTCCCAGCTCCTCTACCAGCATCATCAGCTGACGGGATTCCAAACCACAAGTTCAGCTTTGGCATGAGATCTGGAGCTTGGGAGCATTCAGCATTTGGGCCCATCTCTTACTGCACAGGAATACAGCAAGCTTTTATGCAGCATGCAAAAGAAAAAAAAAAAAAAAAAAAAGCATCCTGTCAAATATGTCCTGCAGACAGAGGCACGATTGCGGATGAGAAATGTTGTTTTGTTTGGTTTCTCAATGTAAGTTTTCCAGGAAGGAGTTGGATGGACAGAGTTTTGCAAAATGAACGGATCCTCTTTTGTTTAGAGCTAAGAAATAGTCACTCATTTTTGTGGTGAAACACGAGCATTCTCCAAACAAAATAATCTCTCTCTGTGGCAAACCATGCCAGCCATGAGGCTGAGGCACTTTCTAGAGAGGCATAGATATAATGCAAGTTAGGGGATGGAAAGGGAGAGAAACAGAAACAAAAAGCTGAGGAATTCCAGTGCAAAATTAAACCAGATCTCGTTTTAGTGAGTGCTGGCATGGAGCGTTCCTTGACCTTGGCTGCTGGTGTTAGCAAAGGAGAAAACAAGATATTGGTCTTCATTCTCTGTGTGTGCACTGAGACAATGTAATAAACTTGTGGGAGTTAATTATACCTTCATAGATGAGGGTGAAAAGACCACCAGAGTGCCAGAAGGTGCTGTGCTCACCACCCATGTGCATCCTCCATGCTTGGGCAAAGTCAGTGGTAAATGCTACTGCTTTGCTTGGCTACTCTGTGGCAAAACTGAGTGCCTGCATAGGATCTCCCCATGAATCGAGTGCTATGCTGTAGGTTATGTGAAGTGTGAGCATCACAGTGTGCTTTAAATACCTGTTGTCTGTCAGGCTCTCAGAGAGAGAGTTGCCTTGTCAGTGGTGTGGGGTTGCAAAGGAAAACCCCATGCTAAAAACATCTGCTCTTAATGCTTGGTGTAGTGGAAATGTTAGTACGTGTTCTTACAGCAAGGCTGTGGGAAAGCAGAAGTAATATATGGTACTTTCCAGGCCAAGAGCAGGAGCAGGGATCGAGAGGGATCACAGAAGCTTGAAGGCTGCTCTCAGTAGCCGAGTCATGATACAGAAGTGAAGCCTATTTGTGCAAACTGTATAGCTGGCTGTGATGTTTCATTTTCAGCTGTTTGCCTGTGTGTCAACAGCCCTTAAAAAAGCAATACTGTGGGCAGTGCAAAAATTCAAGTGTGTGCGTATAGGCATGGGATTTGCTAGAAGCTGGAAACGTAAGGAAAACTTCAGCGAAAGCTACAGTTTTTCACTACCATTTTATTCTTTGGAGTGTAGAAAGTAAACATTCCCTCACCTGCTCTAGGAAATCATATTTTATTTTGCTGTCAAAGTCAAGAAATAGACCACTATGAAGTAAGGATTATAATATGCAATAGGAATTACTATTACTACTACTAATATTGTTTGTTGTGCCTCTCCTACATGCTTCATTCACTGCAGTAAAATGTGCTGCATAGCCCTGCTTCTGAGTGAGACCTGTTGAGCTCTATCCATCAAGAATGGAGCCAGTGTTGTCAGGGTTAGAGTTGGGCTGGGTTACAGTTAGGTTAGAGTTATGATTAGGGTTATAATTAGGGTAGTTTTAACATTGGGGTTGTCTGAGCATTGATGTTGGAGTTAGCATTAGAGTTATTGTGCTCCACTGCTACTGTCCATGTGAATAAATCTCCTAGCAGCCAAGATTGAACAGGGCTCACAGCTGATGCTTCTTTCAAGCAGATACCGCATTCTCTTTGGTTTTTGTCTCTTTGTGGCTTTTCCTCTTTCCATTGGCACCTTAAATGGAATTATAGCTCATAAACAAAAGACCAAGCAAAATAGACCGGTTCAACTATTTGTTAGATTGCTAAACAACTTGGCTAAACTCTCATTCTTGCTCCTTTCCATCCTATTTGTCAACGGTGCCAGTTAGGCACTGAACACTGTTTCTGATCTTCCTTCTATGTTGCCTATGTTAATGCTCACTGGGAAGATAAGTGAGTGCACTGTACGGTTGTGAAGTTGTTTTTCTTGGTTGTAGACCCTGGTTTTGTACTTCAAACAGGAAGGCAAGATGGTGATATATTATTCTCCTGTTTAACATGGTGCCATGGAAAGGACTCCTTCATCTTGCAGTGTATAAAGATGAGATTATGATTTGAATTTATGATAGGGGTTTAAATCTGTTAGGGTTTCAAACAAAATTAAAATTTTAAGAGGAGATTTTTAGGACATCTGACAATATTTGCTAACTGCTCTCATTTAATATATATGTAATCATATCTAGAGAAGACTTTAGAGATGGTTCTAACTACAGCTGGAAGAAAGCTTCTCAATGCAATGACACACTTCTGGAAGCTGCTGATTCATCAGAATTAAACTGTTCTGTAGGAATGTGTGGTTTCCAGCCAAAAGTAAAAGAAACCAGCCTGTCTGACTGGTTTTCTGCCAACCTGCCTGATGTCTGGTCAGCTGGCAAATGGGCCGGGAAGTTCCTTAGGATCCCCATCTCTCTGGTGACTAGGGAGATAGTACAAAGTTCTAAGTCTAGAAAAGAGCATTGTCTGATGTTCATCTTTCCAAGGCAAACTCCAGTTGTTATTTTTTTTCACTCTGATTTAAAAGCTGTAGAAGAGGCAAGAAGGTTTACTTTATGTTCAGACAATTCTGCCTTGAAGTTGTGAGATTTTCCATAACATACAGTTTTCTTCACCCAGCTGTTTCCAGTCATAATTTATTGTACTGGACCTGTTGGTCCTTATTGGTCTCTTCCAACCTGAAATGTTACGTGATTCTACATCCAGGCCTCCTGTACAGGGGGGCTGTGATGATTTGCTCTGTACATTCAGAAAGCTTTGGGTCTTCGGTTCTGTCGTGAGTCAGATGTGGGGCGTGGGGGACTTCAGCAGCACCAGTGGCTGCAGGAATGGAGAGGATGTTGCCTACAGAATGGGGATGGGCTTCTGATGCTTTGTGTCCTGCTGCGGGACATCACAAGTGAGGAAAAACAGTATTTATACATATATTTATATATATATATATTTATAACTAAGCTGTCTTTAAGTATTGTGTTACTGATCTGGTAATAAGCCTTTGTATCTGTCTTTTTTTTTCTTTTTTTTTTTTTTTTTTTTTTTTTTTTACCCAGATGAGAAGCCTTTTGTTGTGGAAGATACCTATTTACTCTGCCCAGCACCTGTACTACGAGAAGTTGGCATGTATGTTTTTCCTATATACTCTAATACTTTCTTTGCCTATGAGAAAATGACAGACTGCCTCATCTCTGCATACTCCGGTGTTCTTAGGTGCAGCTAGTTCTAACATTGTCTTTTATGTTTCACCTTTGAGGAACTCATAGCTTCTACAACATAATTTTTTAGGTTAAAGCAGGGTATTGTTTGCTGTCATTGGTTGGAGTTTATCAGGTATGGCACATCTGAGTACAAAAACTGGCTATGGTATATTTGCATTGCTAGTGTCAATAGATTTAGATGCACTCTTTGAAACTATCTCAACTCAGGGTGGTTTATTAATTGTTGTGTGACAAGACTTTTGTCCCCTGTGTGGGATTTCCATGAAAAGGACTTCTGTGCATCAACAGACATTTCTCTCTTTTTCATATAAGCACGGAGAGGGAGAGTCAGTAGGAGAGTCAGTTATTCTCTCAATGACAGAAAAACATTCCTACCTCAAATGGGAAAAGTTTTGCTGCTGATCCTATAGTCCAAGTTCCAGAGGATGTTGTCTAGAAGAGGATTGTGGACAGACAGCTCTGACTTATTTATTTGGTGTTTTTTCAGGGAGGCAGCTCTTCAAGTTAGTATGAATGATGGTCTAAGCTTCATCTCCAGCTCTGTCATCATCTCCAGCACACATTGTGTAAGTTCTCATTCACCAACTTGAAATGATTCAGTAGGATGGTGGCATTTAACAACAGATGTGTTTGGTACACTGATATTAGTGCTCTCGATTTAGTCACCCTGATGTGTGAAGGTGTTGTTTAATTCTTTTCGAGGTGAGCCTGTGAACACAGAGATGCAGCGTTTTCTGTGCCATAATACAGCAAAGCTCTTGTGCCTTCAGTAATCGTCTTGGCCCTTATATCTGCATGCACAGATCAGATTAGAACTAGCATCCCAGGTCTGGAGATGTCTATGCCTACTTGTCCAGTGGACAGTGATTAAGAGGCATTTCTTGCGGCTTTTTCTGCCAGTCTGTGCCTACAGTGATGCTGCCAATGGTGACACAACACACAGGAGTTGTTAACTGCACTCTTATTCTGGAGGCCAGTATGTACTTTGACAAAACCTTTCTGTTGCAACATTTAAATAATTTAGAAAATGTTAAGATGGAGCCAGGAGTTGGACTCAATGATCCTTATGGGTCCTTTCATACTTGAAGTCCAGATACAGATACTTAAAGAGCAGGGCAGATGGAGTGTAAGCATCTGTATCTAATAGGCTTTTTTTTCAATCACTGCAGATATGAAAACAAGCTAAAATTTTTTTGCTAAGAAAGTTGGTCCAGTTTCTCATTAGTTTAATGTTAAAATGATATTTTACTAGTAGAGGTCTTGGCCTTTATTTAATATTTAAGTCTCCTAGGAACAAGACTGCAAAATAAATATCAGTTTTATCAAACAGTGAATGCTCTAAGAGAAAGAAAACATTTTCCATCTGAGGCAAATAGGTCACTTCTTGGCAAGGAACACAGGATCAAGGCCTTTGCCTTGAATGCATCACTGCGTTGGTGGTGTAATTCAGCAAGCCTTGATTCCTGCGACTGCCAGAGGACTCAGTGCTCCTGTGCTCACGTTGTGTCTTCCAATGCCAACTGTTGGAAATGGGATACTGGGAATTTTTGCCTTGTGCAGCACAATCATTTTTGTGAGGTTTCCAAGGCAAAAAGTGCTTTTTTTCCTAATTACACACCTTCATATACAAATAGTGATCATGTGGCAAACATAATGTTCTTGAGCATTTGTCCCTTTTAAGAAATGACAGTTTTGTGTCTCTTGAATACAGCAATACACATTCCTCTCTAGCAGAAACTCACTCTCTTTGGGAACAGACAGCTTTAGCTTGCACCCATACTGCCTAACTGAAGTCATTATTTGCATTTTTTCCACTTGAGGTGTAAAATCTGCTACAGCATTTCAGTGTGGAGAAAATGAGAGCAGGTTTGGAATGAAGGCATATGTAATGACTGATTTAATCTCCTTCCTGCTCTGCTGAGAAAGAATGAAAGACATTCTGTTTTCCAGCACTAAGTGACACCACTTGTCAAGACTCTCAGCATCACGTTAGACCTCACTGGTGAATACTGCTGGGGGCTTGGGGTTTTTCTGTTGCTTTTCTTATTCTAAAGGAGACATAGGTACAGCTGAAGCAGCCTCACAGCTTCTACATGTTCTTTTGAATCTGAGCATACAAACCTGCAGATGGAATCCACTTGCCTGTATTGCACATGGCCATTGTGCTTCATGGGACCTCTTTCTTTCCACAGCTTTCTAATTCCTGAGATATGGCAGACTTCATGGTTTGCAGCCACGTGAATGCCTTAAATTCAACTGATCAGGCTCTGTTTTAGTCTTCCTTTGGCTCAATTGCTTGTGCTTTCCTGTATCAGAGCACAGGCATGGCAGCACACACTTTTATACCCCATTTCCACACATCTCAAAAAATTACTCATTCAGGTTCCTAAAATAAAATTGCCACAAGCGCTTAAATTCTGTTTTTTAGGTGAGCATTCAGCCTGTCCTGGTTAACCAGGTTAGCCCAGAAGAATTGGTCTGTTTTGTTGAATGCCAGTCTTTCTCCCACCCTCACGTCAGCTCCTCAGGAATAATGCATTTGTTCTGGTTTATTATTGTATGGGGACTGCTAAATCACAGCCTGAACCTCTGATTGATCACCTGAGACGGGCACTGAGTCAGCCTGGGAGCACAGGTGAAGGCAATTCATCTGTGTTGCTGGAAGGGTGGAGCCTGGCTGCACCTCTCCTAGACCCATTTAAGAGCTCTCTTCCTGGCTATTCTGCTGAATATCTTCTTCATCCAGCGAAATCTGTTCTGTGTGCTTTGCAGGTGCATGAAGTGTTTTTGGTCACTGCTCTCAGGGTCCTTGTGCTGTATGCTAATAGAAGCCAAAAGCATCTGGTGATTGAAGCTATCAGTGGCTGCAGGAAGTGCTTCAGAAACAATTGGTCAGACTTTGATGTGACATTACAGTGCATAAATGCTGTATTTCCATACAATGTGAGGGACTGAGTTGTTCTGTTTTCTCACACCTTTTAAGATCAGAATTTTTTTTACTGCACTTAGGAAAGAGACACTGAGTTGGAAAGTAAAGGTTAGTGTCATTTCCAGTCCCAGTCCGTAAGCTGACAGCTTAAAGTGATGCTCCAGGTGTTCTCACATGGTTGCACACTTTCTATCTTTTATCTTTCAGACCAGAATATTCTCATTGGATGGCATATAATCAATGGTGAGAGGTCCAAAGTAGTTCTCCTGTTGGCATCAGTGGACCTTACATATAGACTATAGCTTACTCTCTGCTGAACAGATCAACCCCCATCTTGCTGCACCAAGGCATAGAGCCTGGGATACAATGGGAGCCAAGCATCTTCAGTCCACCAATGGGAATTATAATGTGTATGTGTCTATTTCTCAGCACACCATCTTGGAATTTCGTATGCAAACTTGCCCTGCATCAGACTTCAGTGCTGAGTGTTGCTTTCATGTGTTTGTGTGCTGCACTGAGCAAATAATGGAGTTGAGAAACCCTTAAAAAGGGATTTGCTCCTCAATTCAGGAGTTTTCTGAAGAACTGAAAGAGGGAGAAAGTATTAGATACTGCTTTCATAATGGGTACACACCCAGATGTGCACAGAGCAGGCTGCACACCAAGCACTGTCAGGAGATGTGCAACAGAGGAAGTAATTAACGAGGCAGCGTTCGCAGGCAGGAAGTCAGTCCTACTCCACTGCTGCCAAGTTCTTCAGCGCAGAGAGCTCATATCGGAGAGAAGCCAGGATGGGAATTAAAATAAGCCTTTGTTCATTTTCTAAAAGGCTCTCAGAAGAGCAAAAGCCACTAATGACCTCTTGCACTAGCAGCTCTCAAAACTGGAAGGGAGGTGAAAAGAGCAGGGCTGGAGTGCCCATGTAAAGTGGATCTCCTAGGCTGTTCCAATGCTTCAGCTAGAAGAGCAGTCCCCTGTACCACCTAGTGAGAAACACATGGTGCTTCTCTGCAAGGAGAGATAATGAATCACAGAATCGTTTGAATAGGAAGGAACCTCTGAAGGTCATCTAGGCCAGCTCCCCTGCAATGAACAGGACACCTACAGTAAGATCTGGGTGCTCAGAGCCCCATCCAGCCTGACCTTGTGTGTCTCCATGTCATCCATTCTCCATCCAGTGGAGGCACCACACCTGGGGTGCAGAAACATTTCTGCTGCAGGATTTTAATCAACCAGTGACCAGAAGTTGTTGTTTGCCATGTGTATGCAGTTCACAATGGATGTCTTCTCGCGTCACACTCAGTTTCTTCAGGAGGAGAGCTAGGTAATCGTGCTTGTAAAGAGGAGTCTTTCAGGTGAAGAGTTATATGTATAACCCAGGGTATTCTGGGGGGAGAGGTTGCGTTTGGGAGGCCTATGCAATGCCTAAACTGGGCTTACTCCTGTCCAATGTTAGTAGATATCAACCTTGCCTTTCCTGAAAGGCTGGTGTTGCAAACCTGCACCCACCGTTCTGGGAAGGAATGGTCTCTGATCCCACATTTTCAATTGCAAGGATAGATGAAACATTGAAGCAAACTGGAAAAAAGAATTGGATCTTATCACTTCAGTGGGTGTTGCTTTTGACAAAAGGATATGAGTACTGACACACCTTTCTCTATCTTTGTATTCCATTTTTTTCTTGTTTTTCTGTGGTTGTCTGAAAGGGACTGGAGGAATTTGTATGTTTAGTTAAACAACAGTGGATGGATTTTGTCTTTAAATATGGAGAATGAAAAGGTCAGAAATTCAAGAGAGGACTGCAGGCCTGTAGTAAAATCTGATGACTCCCTGCAGTGAGGGGTTTTTTATTCAGAAGGAATGTGATACAGTGCTAACGCAGTTTTCTCAATTGTGACTTTGTTCTGGGCTGCACAGTTAAGGCTCTGCCAGTTATCACTGTTCCTGAGTCTGCAGGCAATTAAAGTGCATTTACTATTGTATCAATAGAGGCTTTATGAAACTGCAGAGCAAATTTAATGAGCCCTTTCCTAGGCCCTTGACCTGTGTGTTATTAGTTGAGGTATTGCTCTGTGGGAACTCCAGGGCACATGTTTTCAGATCTGTTTCTGAAGTAAATTATTCTTAGTTGTTTTGTGCTGCAAATATAGTAGGCAGTGAATGGTTTTACCTCTCAGGTCACTCTAAGATTTAAATCTGCAGGAATTGTTTCACTCTAATATTGTTGCATGGGCTGTTTTATAATACCCTTAAGTGAGACAAGGCATTTTACAAGAGCACGCTCCTAAGATTTGGAAAATAGGACTTCCAAACGAGACTAATACTTTGGGAGTGGAGGAGGAATCACAGATTGGACATTTGGAAAAGCCCTTCTCCACAGGACTTCTCTCAAGTTCTTCTCTCATCTGTATTCATATCTGGGATTGCCATCACCCAAGTGCGAACTTTGCCCTTGGTCCTGTAGAACCTCAGTAATTTCTTTTGGGCCCCTTCTCAGGCTTGTCCAGGCCCCTTTAGATGGCATCCTTTCCTTTCAGGCTATGAATGTGATTCCAATTTAAATGAAATTTCAGCAGGAAACTTCTCTCGTATATCTTGTTGTGTGGGTTCAGGCCATGCTGGTGTTTGCTTAACCTT